TCAAGTTTTGCTTTGAAACTGAAACTATGCCTCAAATTGTCCAGTGCAAAGATAATAGACTGACCCTTACAATGGATTAGTCACTGAGTCACTCTGATTGGGAGAGTTTGAATGCTCAGTCCATTTTCTATGATGGATTTGACAATCTCAGACATCCTGCTCTGGAGTGATAATTGCACCTTTTGAGATGAGAAGGGGAATCCATGGCTCACTGCTAATTGCCGTCCAGAATCACAGGTCTGTTACACTGCAGGAGGCCATTCAGCCCATCACATCAGCATCATAACTTAGTGCAACATTCCTATCTTTTCCGCTATAACCCTACACATTGATTCTCTTTAAATAACCATGCTCTTCAATACCTCAGTTGACCCTGTCTCCACCACACTGTGGGCGTCCAGTCCTGAATGTGACTTTTCTTTCTCAGTTTGCATTTGTTTCTTTTGCAAACCCCTTTAAACTTGTACCTTCTCATTCTCCATCCCAGTATGAGCAAGGACAGTTTTTCCCTTTCAGCTCTATCCAGCCTGCTCGTGATTGTGAACATTTCCATCATATTTCCTCAGCCTTTTCCTCTCCAAGGAAAACAGTTCCAACTTCTTGATCTTTCTTCATAACTGAAGGAACTCATAACCTGGAACTATTCTCACAAACCTCTTTTGGGAAGGTGATGATTTAGCAGTAACTAGTAATCCAGAGTCCCAGACTAATGTTCTAGGAGCAGGTGTTTAAATTCCACCAGGGCAGGTAGTGAAATTAGAATTTAATTTCAAAAAAAGTCTGTAATTGGAAGTCAGTTTAATATGTTGATTATCAGAAAAACCCATCTGGTTAGACAATATCCTTTAGGTAAAGAAATTTGCCATCCTGCCCGACATGTGACACCAGACCTACAGCAATGTGTTTGAGTTTGTTAAATTCATTTGAGGGACGTGGCCATCACTGACTGGGCCAGCATTTATTGCCTGTCCCTAGTTGCCCTCGAGAAGGTGGTGGTAAGCTGCCTTCTTGAATTGCAGCAGTTCACCTGCTGTGGGTTGGCCCACAATGTTATTAGGGAAGGAATTCCAGGATTTTGCCCCAGCAACAGTGAAGGAACAGCGATATTTTTCCAAGTCAGGATGGTGAGTGGCTTGGTGTTCCCATGTATCTGCTGCCCTTGTCCTTCTAGATGGAAGTGATCGTTCATTTTGAAGGTGCTGCCTGGAGATGTTTGTTGAATTTCTGCAGTGCAGCTTGCAGATAGTACACACTGCTGCTACTGAGCATCGGTGGTGGAGGGAGTGGATGCTTGTAGATGTAGTACCAGTCAAGCGGGCTGCTTTGTCCTGGATGGTGTTAAGCTTCTTGAATGTTATTTGCACCCATCCAGGCAAGTGGGCAGTATTCCATCACACACCTCACCTGTGCCTTGTAGGTGGTGGTTAAACTTTGAGGAGTCAGGAAGTGAGTTACTCGCCATAATGTTCCTAGCCTCTGACCTGCTGTTGTAGCATCTGTGCTTATGTGGTGAGTTCAGTTGAGTTTCTGGTCAATGATATCCCCCAGGATGTTGATAGTGGGGGATTCAGTGATGGTAACACTGTTGAATGCCTAGGGGAGGTGGTTAGATTGTCTCTTATTGGTGATGGACATAGCCTGGCATTTGTGTGGCACGAATGTTACTTGCCACTTGTCATCCCAAGCTTGGATATTGTCCAGATCATGTTGCATTTGAACAAGGACTGCTTCTGTGTCTGAGGATTCACAAATGGTGCTGAATATTATGCAGTCATTGGCGAACATCCCCACTTCTGACCTTATGATGGAGGGAAGGTCATTGATGAAGCAACCGAAGATGGTTGGGCTGAGGACACTACCTGAGGAGCTCTTGCAGAGATGTCCTGGAGCTGAGATGATTGACATTCAACAACCACGACCATCTTCCTACATGTCAGGTATGACTCCAATCACCGGAGAGCTCATTCTCTAATGCCCGTTGATTCCAGTTTTGCTAGGGCTCCTTGATGCCATACCCTGTAAAATGCAGCCTTGATGTCAAGGGCTGTCACTCTCACCTCACCTCTGGAATTCAGCTCTTTTGTCCATGTTTGAACCAAGGCTGTAATGAGGTCAAGAGCTGAGTGGCCCTGGCGGAACCCAAACTGGGCATCACTGAGCAGGTTCTGCTTGACAGCATTGTTGATGACACCTTCCATCACTTTGATGACTGAGAGCAGACTGATGGGGCAATAATTGACCAGGTTGGATTTGTCCTGCTTTTGGTACAGGACATACTTGGGCAATTATCCACCTTGTCGGGTAGATACCAGTGTTGTAACTGTACTGAAACAGCTTGGCTAGGGAAACGGCAAGTTCTGGAGCATATGTCTTTGGTGCTATTTTTACATTCATGGAATCCCTACAGTGTGCAAACAGGCCCTTCGGCCCAACAAGTCCACACCAACCCTTGGCGCATCCCACCCAGACCCATCCCCCTATAACCCAACAAAGCTACACATGCCTGAACACTACGGGAAATTTAGCATGGCCAATCCACCCAGCCTGCACATCTTTGGATTGTGGGAGGAAACTGGAGCACCCAGAGGAAACCCACGCAGACACGGGGAGAATGTGCAAACTCCACAGAGACAGTTGCTCGAGGATGGAATCAAACCTGGGTTCCTGGTGCTGTGAGGCAACAGTGCTAACCACTGAGCCACCGCGCCGACCCAGAATGTTGTCAGGGCCCGCAGCCTTTGCAGTATCCATTGTCTCCAACTGTTTCTTGATATCACGTGGAAGGAACTGAATTGGCTGAAGACTGGTATCTGTAATGCTGGGGACCACTGGAGGAGTTGGATCATCCACTCAGCACTTCTGGCTGAAGATTGCTGTGAAAACTTCAGCCTCATCTTTCGCACTGATGTGCTGGGCTCATTGAGGATGGGGATATTTGTGGAGACCCCTCTTCCAGTGAGCTGTTTAATTGTCCACTACCATTCATGACTGGATGTGGCAGGACTGCAGAGCTTAGATCTGATCCGTTGGTTGTGGGATCGCTTAGCTCTGTCTATCACTTGCTGCTTTCGCAGTTTGGTGTGCAAGTAATCCTGTTTGCTGACTTCACCAGGTTGACACCTCATTTTCAGGTATGCCTTAACTATCCTCTGAAATGGCCCAGCGAGCCGCTCAGTTTCAGGGCAATAAATGCTGGTCTGGCAGCATCTGTGAAGAGAAAACTGTTCGAGTCCATTGACCCTTCTTCAGAACAGAAATAGCTGGAGAAACCCAGCAGGTGAAGAGAAAGCAGAGTTAACGTTTCAGGACCAGTTCAGAACTGTTCTGAGGAAGGGTCACTGAACCTGAAACATTAACTCTGCTTTCTCTGCAAAAATGCTGCCAGATCTGCTGAGTTTCTCCAGCAATTTCTGTTTTTGTTTCTGATTTCTAGCATCTGCAGTTTTTTGGTTTTCTTCTTCAGAACATGCTGGCTCAGCCATTGATACTCACATCCTTTGAATGATAAAAAAAACTCTCTCCGATTCTTCCTATAGAGTGGACCCCCATTTCATCAGCATGAGGTACACACCAGGATGATGAACAAAGTCAAAATTGAAGACGATTTCTCAAATAGTCCTGCAATCCATTGATTTCTAATGATCAGGTTCAAACCTTGAGAATGACCATGAGGAAGCTACCCAGGAAATTGCAGCTTAGCACATGACCAGTACCTCAGGATTGGAGGAAAATTTCACTGCAAGCAAGTGAACAATCCCGAGTATATCAATGGGAAACAGCTCATCATCAGTTATACAACAGTGTGTAATTCTCTACATTACAATGGCTTGTACTGCTTGTGGTTTAAATAGAAAGAAATAACAAAAAGCCTTGTTTTTATCCAGCAGCTTTCACACCTTAGTTCACCCTAAAATGCTTTTGAGCCAATGAAGTGTGGTCATTGATAGGTCAGGAAAACTGGCAGCAAATTTGCAAAGGGCAAGCTCCCATAAAAGGCATCAGCTAATGATCAGATATTCAATGTCAATGATTTTGGTTGAAGAATAAATATTGATGGGGGGGCCTTCCTTGCTCTACAAGCAGTGCTGTACACTGGCCATCCATCCAAGACAGCAGGAAGTGACCTGGTCTAATCTCCCACCAGGAAGGTAACACCTCCGACTATGTAGAGTCATAAAGGTCTCCAGCGTGGAAAACGGCCCTTCGCTCCTTTGGCCAGTCAGAAACAACCACCTAACTATAGCAGCTAATTAACTATACTAACTAACTAGTTTTACTAACCCCATTTTCAAGTACCTGACCCATAGCCTTGTACGCTTTGGCGTCACAAGTGGACATGTATATATTTACAGCCATAGAGTTATACAGCATGAAAATTGACCCTTTGTCCATGCTGATCAGATGCCCAATTTGACCTAGTCCCATTTGCCAGCATTTGACCCATATCCCTCTAAACCCTTCTTATTCATGTACCCATCCACTTCCTCTGGCAGCTCATTCCACACACACACCACCCTCTGCGTGAAAAGGTTAGCCCTCGGGTTAATTTTGAATCTTTCTGTTGTCATCTTAAACCTATGTCCTCTAGCTTGGGACGCCCCACCCCACCTTAGGAAAAATTCCATGGCTATTCACCCTATCCTTGCCCCGAATGATTTTATAAATTTGTATAAGGTCACCCCCCAGCCTCCAATGCTCCTGTTATAAATGTTTCTGTCTCTACCATCCTTACAGGCAGTGAGTTCTGGATTCCCACCACTCTCTGGGTGTAGTGCTCCCTCAATACTACACTGGCATAGCTGATTAAATTATAAATACAAGTATCTAGAACTGGAATTAAACCATTAGTAATTGGACACAAGAGCATTACTAATGAGCCAAAGGGCTGAGCTGTCCTGAAGTTTAGCCTTTCTGCTCCTATGATGCTGCTTGGCCTGCTGTGTTCATCCAGCCCTGCACCTTGTTGTCTCTTTTCTTACATTCATGCAAGTTTATGATGTGACAGTTTCTTAGGATTTTATTTCAAGCAAATTCAACCAACTTTGTCTCTCAATTGTACTGAACTTGAGTATTGTTGAAGAAAGAGATGCACTGTCGGAGCTTGTCATCTTGCAATCATCAGAACACAATCACAAGAATGCCAAAACTCCAAGAGAACAAGTTGTAGTACATGAGAAAATCTGTCTATATCCTTTATACTTGTGTACAAAAACAACATCCTCTTTCCTGTTTACCAATTACTTCCTTTGTAACTCTTCTGTTTATGGAAAGAAATCTGAAGACACAGTTCCTCAAGTAGAATCTGTGGACAAGAAGAGGGAGGGATGGTTGGATTCAGAATCATAGAATTATAGAACTTTACAGTACAGGAGGCCATTCAGCCCATTATATCTGTACTGGCTCCCGAAAGAGCTACCCAACTAGTCCCACTCTCCAGCCTTATTATAGCAGCAAGAGATTTCCAATCACTTCACTGTGTGTGTGAACAAGTACTTTAGGGGTGCGGGGCTGAAAATAATATCAGGAGGAGCATTGCTTTTTGATGAGGGTTTAATCTGGGACCAGTAGATGACTGGAGTTAAATCCTGGGCTGTAACAGATGGGCTGTTACATGCGTTCGTTGGTAAATTGAGCAGACATCTGCATGTGAGAGTTACTGGTGGTCCACCCATTGCAAAGGGATTGAAGGGGGATTTGTTTTCACTATCCGCAAAGGAGAACACTTATTAGGCAGGGTTCAAAATGGCTAATAAATCCTCTCAGTCCTTGAAGAAAATAATCTGAATAGAAAACAAAACAATCAAGGGTCAAGGTAGATGTTCTCTTGCCGCTGAGCTGGTGAAGCTCAACTCAAACCGTCCCTTTGTTTCAAGACTCTCTACTGTTTCTGTCTGTGAAAGGAACGTTGCAAGTTCCGATCTGTTGATTTTATTCAAATCATCACCCCTGGCATCCAATCCATCATTAAAAGGACAGTGGGGTAAAGGACCACTTCAGCTAATTGGAATAATCCTCTGTTGAGTCATGTGATAATGGTGCTCCCAGACCAGGAGGTGCAGATAATTATGGTAATTCTCAGACATTCAGAAAGCAGGATAAACTCAAAAGCTTTGAAAGGTGTGAGGAAATGGCCAGTGCACATGGCTATTGTGCATAATTCTGTTGCTACTTACTGAAAAGAGTTTGCAAGCGTTAGTTTGCTATCAACATACTTTTTGTTGTATTATGGGAGGCTGCACTCTAAACGCCACAAGACATTGGCACCTTTGCTCTAAGCCCCTCTAGGGATTTTCTGCCTGTATAAATTCATCTGAATAGATTTTAATTTAAATATACTTAGAATAAAAATGGGTTCAGACAAACTTTAATACGCTTTTCATTGAGCTTGTTGTAGCAGACTAGATCATGATAACTATCTCACACCAGGATTGTGCTACAAATTCTACCCAATATTTCTTCTTTTGTGTACAAGTAATGACAGGGAACAGAACCTCTCCTTTTTTTTATTAAAATCAACCACGAGAGTCTATTATGTCATTGTGAATATGTACAATTATGCAAATACCTGCACGACGAATGAGTTGGAGGATGAAGTGGAACTGCGGAGTGGTGCAGCCCTGAGCCAGTGTGTTACGATGCTGTTGGAGAGAAAGGTTGAGAGTGCGCATGTGAGTTCTGAGTTCTGAGGAAGGGTCACTGGACCCGAAACATTAACTCTGTTTTCTCCTCCACAGATGCAGCCAGACCTGCTGAGCTTTTCCAGCAACTTTGTTTTTGTGCAATTATGCAATTGTATTCCACAGTCCCCTCCATTGACAGAAACTGTGATAACTTATCTTTAATAGATCATTCAATCATATAGCACATGAGGAGGCCATTAGGCCCATCAAGCTTGCTCTGGCTTTTTGAAAGATCTAACTAATTCCTCTCACTTCCATGCCCTATGGACATTTCCTCTTCAAGTATTTGTTTAATTCTTGTTTGAAAGCTCCTATTGAATCAGTTTCAAACAGTTCTTCAAGTTATAACTACAGGGAAAGATTTTTCTTAATGTTTCCTCTGGTGCTTCTGACAGTTATCTTAAATCTGTACCCTAGGGTTAATCTGCTGGCTGTGGAGACTGTATTCCCCTATCTCTCCCAATCTCTCTCTTCTCTCAGAGGGTTGTGATTCTTTGGAATTCCTTGCTAAAGAGAGCTGTGGGGACAGAGTCCTTGTGTATATTTAAGGCTGAGATAGATAGATTCTTGATCAGTCAGGGAATTGAGGGTTATGAGAAAATAAAGGAAAATGTATGTGAGGAAGGTCAGTTCAGCCATGATCCTATTGAATGGCGGAGCAGGCTCAAAGGGCCGAATGGCCTACTCCTGTTCCTATTTCTTTGGTCTATCTATTTGATGAAAACCTTCATAATTATGTACACATCAGTTAAATCCACCACAATCCTACTCTGCTCTAAGAAAATCAATCCCAGAATCTCAAGTCTCTCTATATAACTGAAGACTCTGAATTCTGGTACTGTCCAAGTAACTCTCTCTGCTTTTGTATTCTGTGTCTCTATAAAGGGAAGGTGCTGCATGTTTCTTTTTTAAACAACCTTCTTAACCTGTCCTATCTTCAAAAAATTGTGAATGTTAACTCTAAAGTTCCTAATTTCCTACAACAATTTGTAATTGGAGCAGTTAGTTTATTTTGCTTCTTCTCAGTGTTTCATAGAATCAGAATCATACAGCATGGAAACAGACCCTTCTGTCCAACCAGTCCATACTTACCATGTTCCCAAACTAAACTAGTCCCACCTGCCTGATCCTGGCCCATATCCCTCCGAACCTTTTCTATTCATGGACTTATCCAAATGTGTTTCTTCACAGCTAGGGCTATCTTTATCTACAAAAAATGAAAGAACTGCAGATACTGAAAATCAGAACTGAGGAAGGGTCACCGGACCCGAAATGTTAACTCTGATTTTTTTCTTCACAGATGCTGCCAGACCTGCTGAGCTTTTCCGGCAACTTCTGTTTTTGTTCCTATCTTTATCTATATTTATTCATGAATCACTACAGCCTCTCCCTTTACTGTTACATTGGCAGAATCTATTACTTTTATTAACATTAATGGATGTTTAAAACATTCTAAGACATCCTCAGATGATGAGAAGCACTATATAAATGCAACACTTTCTATTATAATTTGTCTTACTCTTTGAAGAAAGATGCTAACTGGAGGCAATGCTGCTGGTGCTACATTGAACTCTCAGAGCAGCATCAGAAATCCCTTTTCGAATCTTCTGTTACTAATTCCCTCTAAACCCCTAGCCTCAAGCCTCCTACCTTCCACTTCTACCTTCCCCTCATTCCCAAATCCCTTAATCCCTACCTGGCCCCTATCACTGTACCTCCAGCCCACACCCTCACGTGTGACACCCCAGTCCCCTAACTCTGTACCCTGGTTCAGCAAATATAACTGTTCATGCATATTTTAAGATAAATTGATAACATGGGAATCAACTTCAATGATTTGCTTAACCATGTTTTGCTTTAACTTTGAAAGACTAACACTTTGCAATTTCTAGAATTTCGTGCATTGTTTTGTGTTCTAGAATCGAACAGATCTGGAGTGATCGTATAAACACATAGTTAATGCTAGCTAACTGTAAATAAACTGGTCAGATACAATTCTGTTAAAGGAACAACTTACATTTTGGTTTATTTCCAGTTTGTAGAAATAATTTGGCAGTTTGAAGAAAATGCTGCCTCCTAGTGGAGAAATGGAATTATAATACGCTCAAGATTAAAAGAGCACCTGATTATGCTCACACTGAAGACTGCTGCTTCATGTATTGTCAAATTTTTATTTCAAAATAATTTTGAAAAAGGAATTGTTATGATCCCAGCTGATAAGTGCTCCTGAACAAGTCAGATCCCAGAAATAAACATGGCTTGATAGATCCTATGTTTAATCTATTTTAGTTAGCTAATGTTAATTAATGAAACATATTCATGAGGCTGCTGATAATCTTTAACAACAGAGTGCAAGTTTATTGCAGAGAAGAGAAAAAAACACAGGCAATATAGATATAGAAGACAGTTCAGAAAGAACTTATCAAAAACAGCAAAATAAATTTTCAACTTGTTTCCATCCATTATCCATTACCTTCTTAAATCCAGAAAGATTATCCTCCTATTTCAATTTTTTCAGTTTCTACTGAGCTGGCTCCTTCCAGTTTTCTTTCCATGAACTGCGGTGACAGTTGTACAATTCCTTTCTGAGTCTGTGGACACAATTCTGAAGGTCTAAGCTTTCTCAATTCTAACAATTTGAACAAAAACAAAGTTGCTGGA